ACTATAAAATCTGAACGGCAGAGGATACAAATATTCCCTTAAGTTCTTGCGAAGGCAGATAATTTGGAATTAGACATAACGCACTACAAGCTTTCACATACAAGGCTTTCGGCTGTCCGATAGGTACGTGGTTGAATGTATGTTTTATGCTTATAGATTAACTCGGGACATCACTGTTTTTACTGACCCCAGTATCTATGAGATCGAGCGTATTACCCGATCCATATCACAACTGACCTCATAATTAGGCTGACAAGCATGTGTCGCTTGCGGGGAGATTTCAAACGAGATGTGGGTGCTCTGTCATGGCTTCTAAAGGAATATTGGGTCTTCATTTTGCCTGTACAAAGAAAGATAAACTTCTGATATCATGTTAAAGATTTTAACTCCTGGAACTCCTTCAGGGCTAGATGTCACGGTGATAAGTGGATCTGGTCTATTAGTTCAGGTACTGGAGAGGCATGGAGGATTGGGTAACTACTCATATAATAAATATGGAGGTCACAACCAAAAAGCGCTCAGTGGGCTAGACAAGGTATATGGAAAATTGTTATGCCTCGAAGTTAATAGCTTCAACTGGTGACTAAAAGAAAGCAAAATCGACAACTGACCAACCTACTAGTTTGTCTTCTCATCAGTTCCACCGAAGTTTTACAATTAATTTCTCTTGTTCCGCGGACTACATCCAAAAGGCTTCATTTAAGAAGTAATGTTCATTGATGCTAAGGGACAGCCTCACTGTCCTCAGTTGATTGTGATCACGAAAAAAGGCAAAAAAATATTCCGAAATTCTCACCTAGCCACAGAGGGCTCCCCTTAGACTGCCTCCTAAGGACATGAATATCCTCAAGTTCACGGTTATTTGCTTACTTTAGGAATCGCGTGGATGAAAGATGACATAAAGTTCATTCATCCCTGGTTGACGAGCTAAATCATCGTTCACTTCATTATTTCACCCTGACCCTTTCCCTAAAGTCCTCTCCAAAACAACCTTAGCGTGCATCGCAGACAGCCCAACCTGTCCCCGGCAGACCATTTGTAGAGGGTAGAAGAGTAGGTACGCCACCTGGGGGTACTAGGTTGTTGCCTTCCATGGGGCACTATTCAAGGTTATCGTTTGTATTGTCCTGTGGCATCACATTTACACACCCAGTGGGTCGTGCCCCCACGGGCGAGGCCTGCACAATAGATGCAGCCACTAAAGCTTTTCTTTGCCAGTGCTTCGCTACGATTGATCATACACTTTGTCCTCTGGGGCCCAGCGAATTGAAGTCGATATGTGCTTCAGACACATGGTGTCTTGCTGAATGCAGACAACCTCACGCCGGCAAACAATCGTTTGCGTGAAAACCATCATCAGTTTTTGTAATTCGGTGGAAAAAGTATTTAAGCTGTACAAAGGGAGAAAGTGTACGGAATGGCATATATGTAATCGTAATGACAGTAATGCATTTTCCATACAGAATAAGTTACATGAAGACAAACCAGTCTACAGGTTCGATCGTCTTGGTAATGTGAGCTGACTGTTATGTACAATATCAAGCCATACATTAGACACCGTTATTCATGTCACGTAAGAAGTTCATCTGCAGAACACCAGCATAATTGCTCATCATAGTGAACTAAGCTCAGCTCAGAAGTAGGAATTATTCGGCTGTTGTTTGGATCTTCCAATATTCTTGAAGGTAGGGCGGGTAGTACAGTTATGACATCGGGTTGTGTGCGTTCGTCATAAAGTTTTGATGGCATGGTGCATACTGACAAATGCGATCGCTAGGATTCCATATGGGTGAAGGGCTGGCTAGGTTAACCTGAAAAATGGATAACAAAAGCAAGCGGCAGGTGGAATCCCAGATAGGAGCACAAAAATACCCCGCAAAAATATGTCAGCCATGATACTTGTGGGTGAGTTCATCGTACTGACTACGAACGTTACTTGAAGAAGTATCCAAAACAAATTGTTTAGGGGTGAGCATATGGGGAAGGTGCACACGAAGGTAGTGGAAACTAAACTGAAGACGAAGATGTCACCGTGGAACAGAGAAAATAGAGGAGTTCGGACCAGGAATTTGCTTGTGTAGAAAGCCTGTGTAAAAACGTTCAATCAGATTATAAACACTTAAACAAGCCTCACAGTTTTTGCGATAATGGTAACCAAGCTCCATATAGTCATGGGGGGGGCGGTCATAGTGTTGTCTGTTCAGTGTTATCATATCAGGGCCATTAAGACAATTTGGCAGCGCAGAGTGAGCTGAGCTACCAGACCCACTGGACCTCTTTCTTTTCTTTGTTGACCCCATTCTTTTTACGATTATTTTGTCGTAATAAGCACAAGAGCCGTAGGTTTCATAAAGGGACCGCCATACAAACAAGGGTAGTTCAAGTTTATCTCTCTACCATCATGCCTGTTGGCCAGCTATCACTATCTCCGCATGTTTGCACGCTAATTTTTTAAAGCATTTTTGTGCTACGCTCAAAAGAGTTGATAGTTACGGGGATATTTCCAGCTTACCGTCAGCTGGCTAAGACCGTGCACACATTATTGACTCAATCGTCCCTTGTTATGTACCATACATAGGGCAACACTTACGACCATTATGCCGCCACTCATGCATGGTGAAGCTTGATTTATCACGCAAAACTGATTTGTGCTGCCGAACAGTGCAAGTACTCCCATCTTATTACAAAGAGAAAAGGGAATTGTGGGTAGAATGTTCATTCGTAGTAGGGGCTAAGAGTAGCTGAACTATGGCAGCAGCGAGGTTAGAAACGGTAACTGGGATCAAACACAAATTCACATATAATAGTGTGTTATTCAACAAAAATTACTCACCTTCAGGTAAATTCTTGTGGCCCTGAAGAGATGAGATGTCACTCCTTATTCCGAAACATGCTCACAAAAGTCCCTCCAAAGCCACAAAATCCTCAAGCAATCTTATTCGTCACCAGAAACCCCCCCTGTTTCAAAAACCATGACTGCCCATTTATTTCAAGCCCCCCAGCAAAACCTCAACTAGCGAGGATGAGCGGTTGTCACTTTTCGTCTTTGTCAAGCCACTGGAGAAAAATTTAGCTAACTGAAGGAGCAGCTTTGTGGATAAGGGAATAAAAACATCACAAGGAAGGAAGTGCATCTCATGAAGAGCTCTCGAGCAGGAAGCTTAGGAAGTGATCAAGATATTGGGTTTTTATCAGCGAAATGTGCTATTGCATGAAACAAGTTGATGGCACCCTATTTCCCTAGGCAACACAGAATCACTGAGTCTAGTGAAGGCCTAAACTGGTGCTGAACTTCGCTGGTTACTGTGAAGGATGAAGAAATTTAACTGCCGTTGGATGAAACCGGACCAAAGGTTGCTCGCACCATCGGTAACTGAACGTCAGTCTTGTGGGATGTCAGCCAAATGGTCCGAAATTTCAGGGTGGGCACGAATAGATCGCAAACTGCCGCAAATTTTCAGTCTGGTTATCGAGCTGGAATAGAGTTAGTATGTCTCGATACAACCTTTGCCTAATCTTACAATTTGTGAATGCAAATTTTTAGACGTAATCCAGAATACATCCAGGTTTTTTAATTTATCGAAAATTAAAATTTTCCTGCCTTTAGCATATTTCAGTTGTAGTCACTTTATGGTGCATGTCATGCCAACTGACAAGGTGGATGACATATTCACACAAGGCTTATTTTACAAGCTGGGAGCAGGCGAAATTCAGCTTGTCAGGCTAAGTTGGTCTCTCAGCTGGGGCCTAAGTAAGCAAGCGATTCAGTAGCGCGATAAATTATGATCAATGCATCAGAACTTCAAGAAAGCGAATTCATGATTATGCGCACATATCTGCAATGTGCTTCTTTGTCGCGGTGCTTTGTGATTAGCCTCCTGGTGGGTGCATGAGCCTTGGCGAGTGTGACCGTTTGACTTCTAGTCTATCACTCCAGCGGACAGTGGCGAAGCTGTGTGACTAACGAATATCATTTGTTGGCTTGTATTGTGTCACTGTCTCCCCGTTGTTCCACTGTGACCCGTCAGATTATACTCAGACTAGATGGTCCGCTATAAATATCCGTGAACGACCAGTTCCACCACCTCTTTGTGAACCATAGAGGGACTAATGACGACGTCGGGCATGACACCAAAAGATCTTCCAACTAAAGCGTTGTGCGGAGTGTAAGACCCTGAGAATCCCCATACACCGAAATCTTCAGAAAGTTTGGTTCTTTTGTGCAATGCTAAGTTTGTAACGGCTCGGGATAACAATGAGCACTACTCACACACTTCACTGTTGAACTTCATGAGTTTTACAAAGTTATATGTCCATAGACTTACCGAATGCCTGTGAGCCCTTCATTGGAAGGTGAAACCAGTATAAACGAACTTCAGTATAGGTAGATAGGCTTCTTCCTTGCGAAATTTTCAAAGCGAACTATTCTCTTGTTCCGACTGAAAACTTGGAGCACTCACTGATTACCATACACCATAATTTTGTAGACCTAAAAGCCAGTGGGTTGACAACTCACAAGGGAGTATAGCTACCACATTCGAATCTTCTGGGTTGTATTGTGGAGAGGGCTTGAAACTCACTATCTTCACCTGTCACAGACTGGAGGTTTGTATCTAGCACTTAATGATAAAATAGCAACACTAACAACGTAGGTTCCACACACAAAAACTTCAGCCCCAAATAACTGCTGTAAAGAAGATGGCTTGTCACCTTTAGGGGATAATAATGCCTTAAAAAAGTCTTTTTCACTGATCTTTGAGTGCCACTAAATAGAGAACTCGCATATATTTTAGTTATTTATTTTATTTATTTCAATTCTGTGAGAACAACATATGAATGAAATTTTAAATAATAAGATTTAGTTTTAGCAGCACACGTTTGAATTTGAAAAACAGAAAAAAAACCATTGCGCAACATGAATATTTTTATGACATCGCATATTTGTTAATATTGTTGATTTTGTTGTTTTTTCCATTGGGTGCTTATTTCAAATCAAGGCTGTCCTAACAATCTGTTACCGATGCGAAGTGAGATGTTTTGATGCTGATGGTAATCAGTCATACTTCAACCAACCGTATGTAAAACCTACATATCGATGGTTTGTTTAATCATAGAAAAGCCTGATTTACCTAACCCTTGTCCAGTCCTTGGACAATAACGCAAGATTATTCTAAAAACACAATTTTACTGAAATATATTCACATATTAACACGAAAATATTCCTGACTTTAGTTAACATTACGTAGAAAGTGTTAGTTTCCTGATATTTATGTAGGGTGACAGCTATTTCACTGACTTGTAATAGTGAGCATATTTTCATATCAAGCTTTTGTTTTCGTAGTTGTGTTGATTATCAAAGCTGGATTATTCAAATATAAGCTCTAAAATCAACACTTCAGCCTGCACATATTTTTACGCACTTTAAATAGTTCCAAGCGGTTTTATCTGTGATGAAATAACTTTTCAGGATGTCGACACGTCGTAAAACTAATTTATTATATGGTGGAAAATCCTACACTCACGATTTATCAAGCAAACCACAGAATCTCTGCAGGAATTTTTATAAATTGGAAGGCGATCCAGTCGGACGGTAGGTCTTTTAATCAATTATTTCTTTAGCGGCTATGCTGGGAAAGTTTATAAAATAGTTGCTTCCAGCTTGGAACCTTTGAAGTCGAAGAAAACTCAATTTTCCACAGTCGTATATTCAGAAAATGTCTTTGTAAAACCTGACGAGTACTTAGCATGTAAAGTGATCCGCAGATTTCGTGGAGGAAAGGATACCACTTCAAGAATCACTTCTGAGATTCGAGCCATGATCAACCTACAGACTTACCCTCTTCACTCTCCTTCGAATAATAACTATATCAACAATAACCCGCTTGATAATTCTATGCAGACAAGCAGCAAAATTTCTCCACCAAAGTCCGCATCGCCTAGATTGTTCGCAGTTCATGAAGATCCTATGGAAGTAGCAATTATTATGGAATAGTAAGTTGTTCTGAGAGTTTTTTCTTGTTAATTCGAACTGATGATCCTTCCTTGTGTCACGTTTAAAACGTCTTTGCTGAATGAATAGTCTCTCGTTTTATTCTCACTGCTCTACAGTCCATAATTTTCACTGTTAGTTGCTAACAGGGTGATGTATAGTTGCCTATCTGTCTTTCATTACACAAAGTACTCAGCAAGAAAAGTTTTAGAACTTGTTTACAGTAAGAAAAAACCTATCGGACATATATTTGTGATTAAATTTCAGATGTCAGTAAAATGAACCACTGGTATATTTTGATTCACGTTAAAAGTCAGTACCAGTCCCAAAGACTCAGTAAAAGTATCTTTCACTTCGTCAAAAAATGTCTTTTATTAAATATGCACGACCTTTTTTGTTTCGATGTCGTGGTAAAGTGTTAAATTTACCACTGAATGAGACATTACTGCAGCTCATTTCTTAAGTCCCTTCATTTTGTAGCCATGGAGTCAATCCAGATTTGGCCTTATTAACCGGGTAGTTATTACTAGTCTGTCAGAAGATAACAAGAAAAACTAATAAAAATGCGGTCAATCTATTAAAGTTAGGTCGTTTCAAAGTTATTTGATATCCTTCACTCATAATATACAATCAGCATTCCAAATTAGTCTGGTTGCATATAAGAATGATGAGATAAATCTATGAATACATTCTCTTAGCAGCAACAAGCTGAAACGCTCGCAAAAATTACACCTGGGCTACTGTTACGACTTAACAGTGGAGCGCGGATCTGTAAATTAGACTGGTAGTCAAAACAAATATGCAAAAGTGGATGGATGGTTTTCAGAAAAGTTTGGGCAACCTCTGTATACCAAAGTTTCATAGCTAAAGAATCACAATCTAGACTGTCTGGAGACTCAATTTTCCATATTCTACATCCCTTTTTAGGGAGGTAAAGTTTGCTTTCTAAGCTTATAGCTTGTGACTTATATGTTTTATACGTGTTTTTAGAATATTAGATGGTTTTTGAACCTTTGTGGACCAAAGTAAATAAGGACAAAAGGTGTTGACTAGACGAACTAACTTTAATTGTCGGTATTAAACTTTACCAGTTTTATATGCGAATACTCGAGGATATAAATTAAGTCATCAGGACTTTCGGTCTATTTAGAACTTCACACTACTTGGTAATTTGTATGAAAATGATACTCAAGAAAAGGTAAATGAACAGCTGAGGATAATAATTACCATTCAAAAACTGTTTGCATTACTCTTCAAAAATTTGTCTAAGACTAGGAGAAGGCTGAACATTAGTCTTATGAGTAAACCAGCTGCTTTGAGAAAAGTGTTTAAACGGTGAAATAGTACTTGTGTAGGTGGGAATTGTGACATAAAGTCACACGTTATTATGAGACTGGAAAGGACTAAGATTTAGTCATTTTTGTGCCATTTGTGTTTTAGATATAAAGCTACACCTGTTGGTTTCCCTCCCTAGTTGGAATTCTCTTTTGCTCATCTGTGCTTCACTTTTCGGCATTTCAGTTAATTAAGCTGACGCACAAGCGTAATGGAATCTATCTTTCTTGAGAAGAACAAATTGTGCACATATCACAGAATATATGCACTAGTAGGCTCAATTCTCTTTCATTTAATCTTTCTGTCAAACCATGCAGCTAGTGCTTGCCCATACACTGTTGAACTATTTTGCCAGTCCCTAATTGTTACAATATCCCACAAACAGTGTGAATCAAGGTAAAACCTGAGGCTTGTTTGTATTTATCGGCAGAAAAGTTCATTTAGAGCATCAATAAACAATCAGGGTAATTTGTATTGCTTAATTATTGCTTGCCTTCCTTCCTCAGCCTGAATATTTGTCTGAATAATGATCAGATTCGTTTGGATTTAGTGGTTTTTTCTTTTTTGGTAGTAGTTATAATCTTAATGTGAAATGCAGCCGACCATACAGGGTGGCGAATTACTCAAGAAAGTCAGTTGACTAGATGGAGAAATTTTGTTTTATTCGAGTCAAACTACAGACAGTTTTTTGTAGGCTTTCTTTGACATTAATACACTTGTCAACCGGTCTGAATTTCGAGAAGACATTGTTAGTTTTAGTTTTCAGTTTGGCATGCGCAGCACTGTTACTTCGAAAGCTTTACGTTTGTTAGTTATAATGAGACTTTCAAATGTAGTAAAACTGTCTTAAACTCCATAGAAACAAAAACCTGAGACTGTTCCATATTAGAAAGTCCGCAGAATAAATTTTAAGACACCGTTAAAAGTGGAGTTAACTTCTGGTGCAATGAAATGCTCGAGTAGATATTACTTTTAAGCACAAGAACCCGTGAAATCATAAAACCTTTGCCACAGGCTTGTGAAGTATTTTATATATATATATATATATATATATATATATATATATATATATATATATATATATATATATATATATATATATATATATATATATATGAACACAGTCACTAACCAACTTCTGTGTCGTTTTGATAACTGCTGATGGATTTTCAAGAATAACGAAATAAATGTTGCTAGGGGGTTATTTATGTCAAATATTTAACAAAGTCTACATGAATACCATGAAGCATTGTACGACAAGATTAACAGTTAAAGTTCAAGGAAAAGTTTTGCCTTACTATTTCTATATATATATACCCGTTATAGTTACCTAACTTGTAAATTCGGCAGTAGACAGATCATAAAAATCAAACTTCACTGAGCAAAACGCAGTCATTTTGTCATCTGGTCCTGTTTGTCCTTGTCCGAAGTTCTGAATATGTCATGATGATTGACTTTTAAAGAGTCCAACATTATTTTCCTCAGTGCTTCTACTGCTTAGACAATGTTTACTCAGTAAAACTTCATTTTCTCTTAAAAACCTCTGTATTTTACTCCATGTCACTTTTGTGATATTGTAAGATTTGTGCAAGAATCTCATACTGAAAAGAAGCGAAGAGAATGCATATTTCTCCGTATCCGAGATATACTGATCTCCGTAACTTAGGGACAAAGACTAATTATATTTCGTTGCTACACTTTGTAGTGGAGAAGAACCACGTTCATGTCTCAAATAGGAAATTACTTGAAATATTGTTGAAAACCATCACGATAAGCTTTGCTACTGCCATAATATGTGTTTTTTCCGGAATGTGGGGATGGCGTTTTTATTTAGGAGATTGAGAGAGTTAGTAAGTCAGAGTAGTGATCCTAGTAGTAGTAGTAGTTAGATAAAACTATCAAAACTATCAGAATATTATTTCTTACCTTGTGCAGATAACTGGGTTGACAGTATTTCATGTTCTGTTTAGAGACTGTCCAGTCTAACTGAATGGACATGATACTTTTGTTGGTGATAATACAGCCTTAAGATACAATGACAAACAATAGCGGATTTTTATGGGGGCTGGTAAACTGAAAAGTAGCCTTGATAACTCACTGACATCATCTGAGAAGTCAAAAGCTAGGCTTAAATGGCTGTTCTTTCAATGATTTTCTAACTAGCATCGATCTGTGACTGAAGGTACCATAAAATGCAAGTTAACCTATCAGTCCCAATTTACTGGCTGCATGTTGTGGTGACCTTTCTTCACTTGCAAATCACTTTACTAATGGTCACCTGGCTTGATTTTCATAATTAAGCTTCACTGTACTAAAGAAAATTAGTGCTTACGAGGTAAATGTCTGGTCTGCGATTTGCTTTTACAAATTCCTTTATTGTATCAGTATTAAGTGATCTGAATTTGAACATTAAATCGATGACATCTTTTTGATTTTTAAATCTACAACATTTATTCCTTGTGTGCTACTTTACTTTCTCGTAGTGCCTACGGTGGATCCTTGTATGATTTGTGCACATCTGCTTACGGAAATGACTTTGCTAGAAATACCAACAGAGTGCTTAACATAGAACAGTCTACTGGTGATGATTCCTACCTTATAAATTCAAACATTTGTAGTTCACATGCAGGAGATCATCATTCGAGACAATTTTCTTCAAATGGGTTACCCGAATCATATGTTTGTAAACTGCTTGGTCGTATTCTTGAAGCCTTGGTATACATGCATGAGTCGTTAAAAATGGTTCATCTTGATGTTAAGGTAAGTTTGAAGTTCACTATCTGTTCTAAGATTAAGTATCTGGTATAACCTTGTATTTGTTAAAAAAATAGTTACGGTAATCCTCATAATATTACTTTTAGTAGCCAGGCAATTATTTTTCCATCCAAGTTAATATATTTGGAATCCACGATGTGGGTATTACATGTATTTGCTATCCACAAATACTGCACTTTGTCTTCATGTTTATCGATATGTAGTGTCTCGTATTACCTTAATGGATTGACAAAATTCGGTAACTGAAAGTATTCGGAATGGCAGATACCAGCACTTCAAAGCAAAGTAGTGAAGAATAAATCTGAAAACAAACTACATGTCATTCAGATTACTTCAGTCAGTCTAGTTAGTCGATATTCAGTCCAAATGAACAGAAGGTTTCGAAGGTATCTCATTAGGTTTTATCAAAATGCTTACAAGCATTTTTGAGTACGTACACAAAACAAAATTGCTTTATATCATCTGAATCAGATTAATCTGTGAGTTAACAAAACAATGATCGGTTATATTCTCTTTATCACACTAACTTACTAACTCAAAGTATTTCAAAGTCAATCCATCAGGAAATACATAGACTACAAGTTATTCTTTACTGTTTGGTTGAATGTATTTACTAGGCGGTACATCAGTCATACTTCTAACAGCAGACAGCAGAAGTAAACTTTTATCCTACTGAAGCAAAACACAATGGGAAGCCGCCGGTCAAAGAAGAGCATCCATAAAGCAAGGATTTTGATAGGAGACTAGATAACAAAACATTTTTCAGGCTTGATTGTGAGGTTGTTTAGATATAGAAACACCTATATATATGAATAAAGACATAAAGACAATAAAAATCTACAAAATATTTCATCACATCGTCACTGTATAGTAAACAACCATAAAATTTGTTATATCCACCTTATATCAGTTATGCTTGGCTTTAAAAATGAATATTGTACGAATCCAAACGTTATTCTATTATTTGAAAGATTTTTTGAATCATAGATAAGTTAATATGCGTTTTGTTATCCTAAGAATATTTTTCTGTAAGTGTTTCACTGAAGTGTACCGGTAATTAATGAGTCCGGGAATAGTTTACTGTCATATAACTAAATGTCATGTGATCGAGTTCACCGTCAGCTTCAAACATTATAACAATCAGATTGGATAGAATTCGCGCTGACAATTTCTAAACTTCGTAATTTTCAGTTGAATATTTTTCAAAATTTAGAGAAGACGCATATTATATCTGTTAATCTGGCTTTATTCATCATACTAGAAACACTACAATTTAAATACATTTATGTCAGCATACATTCCATTCTAGGTCACTTCCGACATGTTTTTGCCCTTGCAAATGTTTCTTAACCATTATGATATTTGACCTTATCTGACCAACAAATTGCAACGTATCCGGTCAAACTAGGAGTTGTCTAAGTGTTGATAAGATTTTAAAGACTTCATAAAGTAAAATATAAACTACCTGTCAAAGTAGTATTCAGCATGGACTGAAATCATTTAGAGAACCATTGAAAACTTGGGAGCATTGGAAAGGGGTTTTGGCAAAGTATGAAATCCTTCGTACCGTTTACACATGGCTTCAACAAGTATCGAAGTCAGGATTTTCAGGTTTCGCGGAAAGCACATTGTCATCTAACCAGTGGGCCGTAATCTAATGGTCCGCATTTTCCTATTTCTGTTAATTCGCTATATGGTGCAACCTTCTGCCAGTGCAATTGTTGATTATTTGTCCTCGTGTCCATCTTAGGTTATCTGAAGTAACGGGATTACGTGCTCACTATGGAACTTGAAGGTACTAGTTTCAACTCTTAGCAGGGTCATGAGTGCACTGTGCTGAGGATTTTCCTTATTGGAATAAAACAATTGTTTAAGGCACTCAGATTTTCAATGATCATACAAATGATGTCGGTTCTTCATAAAGAATACCTAGACACTAGTGAATCTCCCCAGACCTCCAAACAGGAGTTATTTTTGTGTTCAAAGTTTATAACTGAACACATTTAATGAAGTCACACCTACTATAGTATTCACAACAGTTATTTCTTAAGAAATGTTCCGCTTACCCAGTAACCTTCTATTGTAATCCACTACGTTCTGTCGAGTGTATCGCGTGTAAAACAAAGCCAAAAGTGGCCAACTCGAAGTCCTGCACCATTCTTGAAAGTGTCTGACAGTTTTCTTGGGCTATATGGGGAATGATATGCTTCCTGACCGGGTTTGAAGTTGGCAAAGTTAATGTAGGTTTTACCCTTCATTATCTGATCAATTCTGAATTTCTTGATAATTTCTGTTTATTCATCCTTTTTTTAACATTTTATTTCTGCCTACTTAAATATTATTCCCTTCGTATCCATTTCTGCTCAATGTGCCATTTTGAAGTGTGAGATTCTAAACCATTAAGCTTCTCTGCTTGACTCCATGTTCATCTGTCTGCCTGTTTCATTAAACTACCTTGCCTTAGCCTAACGGGTGCTGAGTAAATGTCTGTTTCAACTAAAAGCCAACTTTCAAATTCAGAAACACCTGGTGTTCAGGTACTTCTTATTTTTGAACACCTATCATTTATAAAAGGAGCGGCATTGCGCATTTCTGAATATGATGCTGAACAAAGCAATGTAAGAGTAAAACTTGTCACTATGGTAGGTGTAATGGTAAGGTATGATGTGACAATAATTGACTAACGAAATCAACGTAGAACCTTGCACACCGGTGTATGGTCTCAAGTTTCCACACTTCACAGAAGTACATAAAGAACAGGCCAATAGAAAAGGAGTGATATCAAAGTAGATAAAGTAGTGTGAGAGGATAGAAAGTCTGAAGACAAAATTTAGTATGAATATTTAGGCTTTAGAAGATGTCAAGGGGTGTATACATCTGCGCCATTGTGCCCGATTTTCGGCTATGTCACCAAGAGTCCTTAACCACTGATTCCTTTCCCCTCTAGGACCCCAACCAGGCAGTCTACATCGTCACACAAAACTCAGGCTAATAGTAAGAGACTTTGTCGGCTGGTGCCAGGCTTTGGTATAGCCACTCTGAACCGTATTCTATTCTGATCCAATTTCCTCTAGCATGGGACGTCTCAGTAGGTGATGGCTTAGCATGGGGAGTACACGTCCAAGCCATATCAGTTGGTGAAGGTTCATCACTCCGTGAATCGACTTGCTTCTATTGCTTAGTACCTTTCGTCTGACCTCAACATTGCTAATATGGTGATTCCATCAAACGCTAGCAATGCTATGACTATGGACAATAAGTTATGTCCGTAAAGTAATCCACTAAGTTCTACTTCACTGTGTGACACATCTAGCAAATCAACTCAAATGAGTATGGTTTGCATTTCTTTAAGGTCGTGAATTCATTTTATACAAATCGAATCCCTAGTTAGAGGTTACTTGATGATAATTTACAACTATTCTTAAATACTCAAGTGCATCTGTTTAAACTTAGTTATCTGTTTCTATCAGTTTTCTTCATCTTTACTAAATTCCTTGTTTCTTACGTTATTACTATTGAATCCTATGGTCATGGTCATTGGTGTATACTAAGAAAACTATGGTCATAACCTTAGTGTGAATTATTACCATTATACACTACTCTGTTTGTTATCACTGTAATCAATATATCCATCAGTTTTTTCTTAGAATTCTTTCATTCATAATGATAAAAAGAGAATTTTCGACTATTTATCTTCAAGCAGATAAGATGTTCTCTTTAAAAGTGCCCTCGTTCCCATGTATGTGTATGTGTGTACATGCGTATATCCAAGATGGTGATTTCTTTTCACATTCTTCATTCAAAGCTGTTTATCATACTTTCTATGTTCGATTTTTAATGCTTAAGTATAACAAGGCTTAGTGTGCATTCGTCTAATTCAAACAAAACGAACATTTAGTTAACAATACTTATGTATAATTATGTTCCTAAGTGTGATTAGGAGGGAAACAGATTGTGGCATCTTGTTCACTAGCATCATGGTAAACAGTATTTTCATATTAATGAGCTATTGACAACTGCGAGGAGTTTCTTAGTCTAGGCTTGCTGACTATTGATAATTATTAGCTCAGAATATCTGGATGCTAGAATTAATTTGCAATCTTTCCACGAGTGACATTCCCACTTCGTTATGTTTCCGTCAGACATGCTACCCTTGAACTGTTTAACAACTCCTTGTAGGCTCAGAATAAATACAGTAGTTATATCTCATGTAATTTTTTCTATCTATAATGTATATATCTATACATACTTCTTTTGTCCGAAATATTTATACCTGAATTAGTTATAAGATCTGTTATGATTAGCTTATGTTTCTTGAGAGATTCAAATTTTACAGTAAGTGAAGAGCCAGTTAAATAATTATAAAATATAAAATTTACTACAAACAACGGTTGTTTTCGGAATTTGATTTAGTCATGTAAGTGACTACCTGTCGTAAGGATAGGAACCACTGTCCGTTTATTAGGTATAAGAGTAAACGTTGGTAGTCAGAAATTCCACTGGAGTTTCGTTATCAGATATTTTACAAAATGAAGTAGTACGACTTACTGGACACTGTTTCAAACACAGTATATTGTCCATAGGTTTATAGAGGTAACTTGACAAATGGAATGCTAAAAACTACTGTTCTTGTTTCATTTTGAAGTGTCAGCAATAAAAAGACATACAGCATGCAGTAAGTGAAGTGCAAATGCTGTAAGACTTTAACATACATCTTCATACCACAAGATTCAAGTTGTTCCCCGTTAAAATATTCACTATAGTTGAATTATATTGGTCGTGTATGCAATGAATGATTAATAATTGCTAGGCGATTTTAATTTTTTAAAATTTGTATAGTAGAATGACTGATATAAATGTTTACGTTTAACTAAAATTCATTTTATTAAGGCGGAAAATCTATTACTACGTCAACCTTATCCATCCATAGATGTATTTCTAACAGATTTTGGTCTGGCAACTGTTTTAATGGAAGGGAAACAACATCGGGAGTTAGCAGGAACACCAGACTATGTTGGTAAGTCTTTTTATAACAAACCAACATTAAGTATGACTACTTTTGCACTGATGTTATAAAGTTTTGACTTATTTTACTTATGTGATTATTTATCATAGAGGTATTAAATTAACAAGCAATAAACATAGTCTCACCAGTTCACTTCACATCTTAGTACAATAAATGACTTGTGGATGATGATGTGTTCCATAAGGTTATTTGTTCACTTGTAGGTGAGTCTAACAATTAATCAATTTCAAATGTCTGTTGGCATATAATCTTACCTTATTTAAAGGATATATTGAGGGTACACAATAAAAACTATTGATCACTAAATTTAGACAACTTCGTCATTCTTTTGGACAAGAATCACAGGTGAGTGAGTAAGCTTTATTAAACTAGTCACACGTATAGTTTGTTGCCTATCAATGAGATCTTGAAAAGAAAAGCGAGAAAGGAGTAAATTTCAAACTTACGGTTGACTGGGATATCAGTAAACATGTTTCCTAAATCATTAGTATTGCTACATGTATATTTCAGAAATACTTTAAAAATTCCGAAAAATCGCATCCTCCAACTGTTAAAGTCCAGCAATTGCCTCAAATTAACTTGAAGCGTCTACAGGTAAGTATTTGAATATGTAGTGAAGGAAAACAGTGTTGCAGACGTATATACTACTTTATACATATAAATAACAATCCAGTCCCATTTCAGTCTTATAAAGTTCTCGTATGTTTAGGTGTGTGACTACAGTACGCACCAATATCTACAGCAATCAAGGCACAAAAGCAGTATCTTTTATTCTGTGGTAGATATGAAACCAAAATATCTTTACGGGTCTTTTCCGTTGCCTCTTGATACAAATCTGAAAATTTATATTTGATGTTGGACTGATTTGTACAGCTGTATTATTGTATATAGAAGGTTATATGAATAGATCATTATTATTATAATTTGTCCCTTGGGTTCCAAGTGAAACATAGGGCTTCAGTAGCACGCCTCCATTCCACTCTCTTCTCTGCTGTCTTTTGAACCTCTACGCAGAAGCTTTCATTTCTTCCTCACACGACCTCCATGTTACACAACTCGTCTTTTCCCCTTTGGATTCCACTCGACTGCCTGGCATGGCCTGCCGCGTGATGTCCACAATCAGCCCACTCAGTGTTTGCCAAATCCATCTCCACTTTCTTCTATATATTTGTTAGGCGAAAGGTTGTTGACTGGTTCGTTGCCAGCCAGCCAGCCAGCCAGCCAGCCAGCCAGCCAGCCAGCCAGCCAGCCAGCCAGCCAGCCAGCCAGCCAGCCAGCCAGCCAGCCAGCCAGCCAGCCAGCCAGCCAGCCAGCCAGCCAGCCAGCCAGCCAGCCAGCCAGCCAGCCAGCCAGCCAGCCAGCCAGCCAGCCAGCCAGCCAGCCAGCCAGCCAGCCAGCCAGCCAGCCAGCCAGCCAGCCAGCCAGCCAGCCAGCCAGCCAGCCAGCCAGCCAGCCAGCCAGCCAGCCAGCCAGCCAGCCAGCCAGCCAGCCAGCCAGAGTTCCTTGTTGCTTATTCTCTTTATTCTGGCCATCTGATGTTCAGCGTCAGTATCGAGTGAGTGTAGGTGGCAGTTGTTGATGAATGTCTGCAGTTTGTTGGGAATGCTTTTCATAATGCGCCAAGTTCCTGAACAATCACACAGAAGCACTGACTTCGCTGACATTAGTGTTGAAAATCTGGATCTTGTTCATGCTTCATGCTGAGTGCAGTGCAGTGGATCTCCACACTGGTTTCAGATTAATGAAGGCCTTTTTTTTCTTTCTCGGTCCTGGCTGCTTTGACGTCCTGATCTATGCCACCGCCGCCTGTAGTTGAAACGATGTTGTCTTGTATAGGTAGGTGAAAGAGACTACTTTGTTTAAGTTTCTCCTGTTGATGGTGATTGGTGCTTGTCGTTGATGCTGTTGTTGATTGGGTATCTTCATCACCTCTGTCGTCTCAACGTCCACCTGAAGGAAGTCTCGTCTTTGCTGCTCCTTCTGTCAATTTGTTAGTTTTCTCCTGTAGATCTTCAAGTTTGTGGGACAAGATATTAGAGATAAATCATCGTGGGCGAAATCCAAATCTCCTAGGGTCTTTTCACCGGTCAAACAGCGTGTGCCACTCTTCTCGCTCCTCATGGTTTGGTGTATTATCCAGTCCAGTCGACCGCAATCAGGAAGATCCTGGGTGATAGTAGGCGGCAACCTTCTCTTACTCCTGTCTTCACTTCAAAGGCGTTATTGAGCCTTCCATTGTGAATCACTTGACATGTAGCATTGTCATGTAACTGTTGAATGAGGTTGATAAAGATTTGTGGCACTGAAACCGTAGTGTTGAAGCAACTGCCTGCTAAATTACTTGTTGGTCGACGCTGTGGAAGGCCTTTTCAAAGTCTATGAAGTTGAGGTTGAGTTGAGTTGACAGCCATTCTATACTCTGTCCTATGACGATGCGTAACGCAGCGTATCAATTTGGTCCGTGCATGATTTGTGCTTCCATGAGTCAGTCAGTCAGTCAGCCAGCCAGCCTGTTCTGGTTGTAATTTTGAATCCCACGCATCGTTTGGTCTCTCTGGGATGATGTGGCATAGTATTTTGTTTGTGTTGGGTGGGAGTATGATTCCGTGCCAGTCCTTGCAATCTATCTGCAGGTTTCTTTCCTTCCTTCCCTCCTCCCAAACCTTCTGCAGTAGTGGTGTGAGCATGTCTGCTGCTATTGTCTCTGTGTCTGTTTTCAGTGCTTGTGGAGGAATTGTTTCTGGTCCTTCTGCTTTCCAGGATTTCAGCAGCTTGATAGCGTTCAGGACTTCTGCTTTCGTTGGTGGGCTTGTGTTCACTGGTTATTCTGTGGCTGGGCTGCCGGTGGTATTTCTGGTCGAGTTGGAGATGGTGGTGTTGATGGATTGAAATGTTTTTTGAAGTGGTAAAACCCGTTGTTTCCTTTGTTTCTCCTCATTGGTAACTAGGTTTCCTTCACTATCTTTCATTGGTTTCATCTGAGTTGATCTCCTCCCTCCCAGATAGTAACGTGGTTGTTTGATATACTGTTATCTGGTCTGTCTTTGAGCGCACACTGAATAAAGTTATTTAATTGGTGCTATAGTAGGTTGACTGCAGTATCTTTTAAACGAAGTTTGTATTACAGCTTTGAATCATATTTCAGTAATAGTTTCGTTAAGATAGACAGTAGAAAGAGTATGAATAAGATGGTCAATAAATCCCTTTTATCACTTCGACATAGTACCAAGGGCCAGAACATTGTAGACCAGTCATGGAGTATTCTTGTACTTTTCAGAGTGGAAGCTTGCCATCAAACCTCTCATATTTTGCCCAGAGTTCCAGTCTACAAATCTTCATCACTATTTTTAATACTGTTTAGAGGGAGTTGAAAAGAGATGTGCAGATGCAAAGCAATGAATGGATCAGATGCCAATATCTTGATGAAACACTACTACAAAGTTGCTTACTAGATTCAGTGAAAACTCTTTGTAAAAGTGGTAGTAGTTGTCGGTATTGGAGACAGACATATGCCTTATATGGTAATCCAGGCGAATTCTATGGGACTGTCTTTTCATCCTAGTTATAGGAGAAAAATGAATATTGGGACTGGCAATGAAATATTCCTTACATTCATTTCACAGGTAGATGTAATCAGTGACATTTAACTTGGACACTTCGTTTTATAGATAATAAAACCTAATCTTCTAATAATGAATGGGTGTGAAACACTCTAAAGAAATCACTCAGTTACGCATTTTAAATCCCACTATAAATATAAAACATAGTTTGTCATGGATTACATTGAATTTTGAACAGTGTTTTATAGATACCTACTCAAGGATGAGACTAAAAGTTATCCCTACTTGTTGCCGTGCTTTTTATGGGACATAGCGTTCTGCGCGTAAATTCGTAAACTTTTTGTTTTACTATATGCATATTTTACCTATTTGTATAGTTTTTAAAACCCCCTGTGTCATTAAATAGTGCTTCATGCCGTTTATTCATGTATAAGGTAATGGTTCCACTTCCTCCTCCTAGCTGGGATTTGAGTACATTTATTTATTAAGAATGACGCTTACAAATCAAGTTAAATTAAATGAACTTTCAAACTGCATCAAAAAGGATTCATGATTGCAGTTATCAACTCAAAATATACGCTTACAAAACAAAGAAAATACGTATTTTCACACAATATTATAGCACTTGGAGATAACCTTTAGCCTCACCCATACTCAGCTTAAAATGAATTGTTTATATTATGTACAGTTATGGTAAAATTTATAAATAAATAAAGTAGATGATTCTAACTAATATCTTACACTTAGGATGTGTGTCAAACAGTATACAAAGGCAACCAATTAACTGCATTTGATCCTCAATAAAAAAAATTGGTGTGAATTAGGTGAACTGTTTTGCTGGCTTATAGAATAGTGATAACCACCTCTTGTACAAATAATTACAGATCAGTATTAAATCTATTTATGACTTGGTTTATCGCAAGTTCAAGAAACAATCTTGTGTATCAAAACTGAAGTGCGATTGTTGTTTAACAAGTAATCAAACATTTAGCTCTTCTGAATTCGTCTTTGTACCATCTCCACATGAACTTATCTATCTTTTTCTCTCTTTCTGCCTCCATCCTCTTATGTCATGAAACGAAATTTGAATTCTATGGTTAAGAAAAGTGCTTCTTGTTATATATATATATATATATATATATATATATATATATATATATATATATATATATATGCTTTCAGAGGTATATGAAAATAAACTTTGAAACTTTCCATCTTAAAGCTATAATTTGAAAGTATCTTCAGTACAAATCTTTTTAGGGATAGAAAATAAAAGGAATTTGTTTATTGGCGATACAGAATCGGCTTTTTTGAAATAATTTTCCCCAATATCTTGACTTATCATGCACTAAAAATTTACGAAAGGAGAAAGCGCCTTCAACTGTGTAAAATTATACTTAATGCAGAAATAAAATTTGCTTTAAACTATAT